GCATAGGAAACCTTTATATGCCTTTAGTAAATATCTTTTCCGCCAGTGCTGAGAGTTTCAGACCAGGGACTCGTATATGCTGGGCAAGGACCTGACTACTAAGCTACCCATAGTGAGTGCCTTTTTACAAATCACACTTATCACTTGTCTCTTTGTGTGTGTGTGTGTGTGTGTGTGTGTGTGTGTGTGTGAGAGAGAGAGAGAGAGAGAGAGAGAGAGAGAGAGAGAGAGAGCTCTTGATATGAAGCCTCCAATTCACAATCTTCTACTGCTCCTCTCAGATGAAGGGATTACACAAAGCAGCACCATGCCTTACTCAGTTCTAACCTATCTCTGAAATGTTTTAGCTCTGCCTAGAGCCCAGAATCCCCTAAGAAGGACCAAACTCTGTTGTTCACGCCACACGCTGGGAGCTGTGCAGCCTAGTCTCAGATCAGCATAAGACTTGCATGTTCTATGGGCTTCCTCAGGGCAAGGCACCTGTGGAAACAGACTCTCACTTGGCAAGACCAGTGTAGGAATTTGCAAAATTCATGCGGCTTGCAGGTTCTTTTCTCTCTCATTATTTTGGTGATTCTTTTCGTGGTTTTTAGTTTTACCCTGTCAGCCACATGTGCAACAGCTGTAATTGCCCCTGGAAATTCTGCTCCTTTTTAAATATTTTCCCCTAATATTCAACAGGGGGCTAATGCTTCTCAAATCTCTTCTCTGGAATTGCTAACTACAACTCCCAATCCTGGGAACTTTTCTGACTCGATAGAGACAGGTACGCATGAGAGAACAACACTTCGAACACTCACTCTGTCTCACGGTTCTAGAAAGGAGAGTAAGGCATGCGTACACAGAATAGGGGAAAAGTCTTAGGGATTCACACAGTGCCAACTGTTGATAGTAAGGTCCCTGGACACCAAGCATAGAATCATTGGTAGGATCTGGTATGTGCCAAGAGGAAACAGGCAATGCAAAATATGGGATGGAGAGATCCATCTTTACCATACGCAGGAGCTTGTGTTGGTGGGAGACGCATGGTACAGTGAGATGGGAAGAGTGCTTATCAAAGTCTGCCTTCTACAGAGAGATCGAGACAGGGCCCTCTTGTAGGAAAAAGAGCTGTATAAAATACACCTTGCATACATGAACCAATGTCTGAGTTTGAATACTGTCCTTAAAGCATTGTTCCCATGTCTGTTACTTTTAACTTTGTAACAGCAAGCAGCTGTCAGCTGACAAGCTCCAGGAGAGCAGGCTGTGTCTGGCTCGATATTTAGTTAAGGCCTGCAAAAATGCTGAACTCTACGTCTATAGTAAGGTATTGTAGCAGGTGGGACGGTGTATTTGGGGAAGCATAAAGGGGAACAATGGGGGTTTTCATACTGTATTCTTTCGTTTGTGGTGTATTTCTTAAAGTCCAAAATAGAAGCCAATAATAAAGTTGTTCACGTAACCCTGGTAAGAAAATTTCTGGTAGGTATAAATAAAGACGGCCTGAGCTATTCGGGGCCTCTTGAGCACAGCTCACTTGGTGGTCAGAAGTTTTCCTTGGCCAATGTCCCTTCCCTGCCTCAGGACCTGAACTCAAGTCGAGGCTAAACCCTAGCAATGTAACACTGTAAGCCTTCAAAATATTCTCAGGTTTTATTTGCCTCACTCTAATCTTATTTGTTTCAAAAGTTTCCTTGATTCTTAACTTCCCCAGTAATACCCCAAAATAATTCCCTCCAAAGGGGAGGTCCTGGGAGCAAGGTGGGAGGGGGGGATATATGATCTCTTAATTGGCTATTTCTCTACCACAAGGGGGAGCCAGATCTCTTCAGTATGAGCCTTGGCTGCAGGTACTATAGACCACACCTGGTATGAGTCCAGGTGTCTTTGATTTATCAAAACCGTGATTGCTAAGGTCTAAAACTGCGCAGACAAGTTTCTAGTGTTTGTAGGGTCCCATCACCAAAGGGTCCCTAGCACAGCCATGATGTAGGTGGGTCTTCTGTTATGTGTTATTTTCATTGGTTAATAAAGAGACTGCCTTGACCCTCTGATAGGACAGAAAATTAGATAGGTGGAGTAAACAGAACAGAATGCTGGGAAGAGGGCAATGAGGCAGACACCATGGAGCCAGCCCCCAGGTCAGACATGCTGAATCTTTTCCGGTAAGCCACTGCCTCGTGGTGCTACACAAATTATTAGAAATGGGTTAAGATGTGAGAGTTAGTCAGTAACTAACTCTCTAAAGATAATGGGTCAGGCAGTGTTTAAATGAATACAACTTATGTGTTATTATTTCTGGGGCTAAGCTAGCCGTGCGGGAACTGGGCAGGATGAAAAGCAGGCCTGCCCGCAGCTCCTCACTACACAGCCAGAGTTCCTTTGCTCTTTCTTGCAAACACAGGGAGAGGGTGCTGTCAAAACCCTCTGCTCTCTGGTCTCTAAGCGGGTATGGCATTCACTCTAGTCAGAAGGACCTCGGGATTGTCTTTCTCTAGTGGATAATATCTGAAACACAGCTTCTCCTTGCCTGGAATTACCTGGTGCCACCATTTTCTTGTTTGTGTCTGATAACTGACTTTTGGCAAGATTAGGTTCCAAAACAAGACAATCAGTTTTATTTCTGAGATTAGAAGATGCCAGTGGCTCTTCCCCGGTCCCGGGCTGTTAATGCCCCACCCCCACCCCCCAAAATTGGGTTTGTCCCACCACCAAGTGTATCTCTGGCACAAGTCTTCGTGGGACTGGACCAAGGCTCTGCCCCTTCACGGTCCCAGAAACATCAATTTACTGCACTATAGGCTGTTGGGTCCCCAAGGGTTCGGGTGGTGCGCTTCTGACCCGGCCCAGAGAGGGCGCTCCTGACAACCTTGCAGCCCCAAGGAGCTGCGGCCAGGCGTGCCTTGGTCTCTGTGATGGAGCAGCGTTGTAAAAGGCTCAGCAAGGCTGTGGGGATCACCTGTGGGAAGGAGCAGGGCGAGTTGGAGAAAAGGTAAGGTCATTTGAGAAGGAACCCTGGAGGGGGCAAAGAATTGGGCACAGGAGTTTGGTTGGGTGAAAGAATAGGAAGGTGGCACATGCCTTTAATCTCAGCACTTGGGAAGCAGAGGCAGGTGGATCTCTGAGTTGGAGGCCAGCCTGGTCTACATAGCAAGTGCCAGGACAGGCTCCAAAGCTACAGAGAAGCCCTGTCTCGAAAAACCAAAAAATAATAATAATAATAATAATAAATAATAAAAAAATTAAAAAATAAAGAAAAAGAAAAGAAGAAAAAGAGAAAAAGAAAAAAAGAAGAAAAAGAATAGGAAGTAGGCAAAAGCAGAGAAAAACCTTCACTTAAGCAGGAAAATTCCTGTGCCAAGACCCTTCTCTCAGTCCTTCTTGATGCCCCTTCAAGGCAGAACAGAAGCCATTTTGTTGGTATCCTTTTTGCCTCTGTAATTTCTGCCACTGTTATGCCTCCTTACCCCACTCCCACCCCCATCCACCTACCCCTCCAAATGGGAGCTCCACGTGGCACGGATCTCTGAGCTTTGTAAATCTAGAGTCACACCAAGTTCCTAAGATGTTTAAGATCCTCAGAAAGTGTTTGTGGACAGCTGAACCGGGTCTGAATGAGCATATGATCAAACCGGACTCTCTGATTGTGGCTGACAAAGGGGGCTGACTGAGAGGCCATTGATAAAGGCACTGGGACTTGTTTTTACAGCATGTTCTGTTTTTTTGGGACCCTAGTCTATATGGATGCACAGCTCCCTAGGCCTGGATGTAGGGGGGAGGGCCTTGGACTTCCTACAGGCAGGGTTCCCAGCCCTCTCCTAAGCAGGGTGGGAGAGGGAGGAGGGGGTGTGGAGGAGCAGGAGGGGATTGGGAGGAGGGAAGGAAGTGTAAATAATTGAATGGAAAAATAAAAATTAAAATAAATAAATAAATATAAGAAAGAAAGAAAGAAAGGAAGGAAGGAAGGAAGGAAGAAAGAAAGAAAGAAAGAAAGAAAGAAAGAAAGAAAGAAAGAGAGAAAGAAAGGAGAAGAAAGTGTTTGTGGAACGGCCAGCAAGGGGAAAAGGATACCTTTTCCTTCTCGTGGGCAACCTGGACATGGTGGGAGATGGGAGGAGCCCGGACATCATCTGACAGTGGTTGAGGAAAATGGATTGCTTGGAGGAGGCTCTCGATGCAGCGAGCCTTGGATTGTCCAGAGAACCGCTGTGGGAGTAGTAGTAAGGTCAGTGTTGGGGTAGAGGGCAAGGAGAACTGAGAATAGTGTCACAGAAGAAAGCAATCGGAGAAGGGGGGCAGGACAGCTAGGATCCTGAAGACTGGCTGAAGACACTGTGGAGAGTTTATCCCTCCTGGCAATCCCATAACCACAAGGTATAAAGGAAAACTGGGTTAAGGAGTTGATGGTGGACCATCACTGGCCCATGATGAATGGGAAGTTGGTGAGAGTTACAACTGTGATCCAACAACCCCATAGATGGATGATAAAGGATAGCAACCTTCAAGGCCGTCCATCATGCTCTCTGCCGAGCATCCATCCTCTCTCCATCTGGGCATTAGCCCCTTTCTTTTCCTGGATAGCTGCTGGTCTCCATTCTGAGACAGTAGATATAATCAAGCCATCCTGCCCTACCAGCTTTTTGAAAGTACCCACAAAGCAGATGAGCAGGCACCTTTTTTCCCTGGAGGACAGTGATTGGTTCAAAGTTGTGCACATGACCCAAGGCAAGCCAACAAGAGCCCTCCACCAGACGCTGGCGGTGTCATGAGGAACAGAAAGACTGCTTCCCACCGAGGTTACTGTCTTAGAACTGTTCAATTACATGAACTATCCTGGAACTCACTTTTGTAGACCAGGTTGGCCTCGAACTCACAGACACCGCCTGTCTCTGCCTCCTGAGTGCTGGGATTAAAGGCGTGCACCACCAGCGCCCTACTACCAGTTGGGTTTCTATTGCATCCTTAAAACCTAAAGACTGCCGACTGGGAGTTACAGTTTCACACTCAGGCACGTTGTGTGCATGCAAGGCCAACTGGAGGATACTCCCAAGAAAGACACGCCTGTGAAAACCTAGCACACACCCCTCCGCAACACTGCAAAAACCACCTTCTGCGGCAGTCTAGGTTCCTGTCACACTCCCACCTGCAACATGGCCAGTGCCCTCCAAAAGAGCTTGGAGTTGGCGATGCGGAGGTCCAGCATGTGGTTCTCTAGGATCTTCCCCAGCAGCACGTGGGCCCCGGTACTCACTATATTCAACACCCACTTGGTGCTTAGTTCACGCTGGAACTTCTGAAATACAGACACACGGGAGTGTGGGAATTAGGGGCTGGGAGAGAAGCCGGGTGAGAGAGCCGTATTATAACACAGAAAACCTGGGCTAAGGCAGCAGCCACCTCGTGGCTGAAGAGATGGCCCAGGGGAAGAGCACTGGCTGCTCTTCCAAGGTCCAGAGTTCAATTCCCAGCAACTACGTAGTGGCTCATAATCTGATGCCCTCTTCTAACATTGTATGACATTTAATGATGTACTCATCATTAAAATATGAATAAATAAAATTTAAAAAAACGAAGCTACAGTACTGAAAACAGCCTGATACTGGCGTAAGAACAGACAGGAGGACCAATGGAACCGAATAGAAGACCCGGATATCAATCCACACATCTTCGAACACCTAATATTTGTTAAAGAAGCAAAAAATATCAAATGGAAAAAAGAAAGCATATTTAACAAGTGGTGCTGGCATAACTGAATATCAACATGTAGAAAAATGAAAATAGACCCATATCTATCACCATGCACAAAACTCAAGTCCAAATGGATCAAAGACCTCAACATAAATGCAGCCACACTGAACCTTATAGAAGAGAAAATGGGAAGTACACTTGAATGCACTGGGACAGGGAACCACTTCCTAAATATAATCCCAGCAGCACAGACATTGAGAGAAACAATTAATAAATGGGACCTCCTGAAACTGAAAAGCTTCCGTAAAGCAAACAACACGGTCAACAAGACAAAACAACAGCCTAAAGAATGGGAAGAGATCTTCACTAACCCCACATCAGACAGAGGTCTGATCTCCAAAATATACAAAGAATTCAAGAAATTGGACACCAAAAGATCACATAATCCAATAAAAAAAATTGAGTACAGACCTAAACAGAGAACTCTCCACAGAGGAATCTAAAATGGCCGAAAGACACTTAAGGAAATGTTCAACATCCTTAGTCATCAGAGAAATGCAAATCAAAACAACTCTGAGATTCCATCTTACACCTGTAAGAATGGCCAAGATCAAAAACACTGATGACAACTTATGCTGGAGAGGTTGTGGGGAAAAGGGAACACTTCTGCATTGCTGGTGGGAATGCAAGCTGGTATAACCCCTTTGGATGTCAGTGTGGCGATTTCTCAGAAAATTAGAAAACAACCTTCCTCAAGACCCAATAATACCACTTTTAGGTATATATCCAAACAATGCTCAATCGTGCCACAAGGACATGTGCTCAATTATGTTAATAGTAGCTTTGTTTGTCATAGCCAGAACCTGGAAACAACCTAAATGCCCCTCAATCGAAGAATGAATAAAAAAAAAATGGCACATTTATACAATGGAGTACTATATACAGCAGAAAAATTAACGACAGCTTGAATTTTGCAGGAAAATGGATGGAGCTAGAAAACATTGCTTTGAGTGAAGTAACCCAGACACAGAAAGACAATTATCACATGTACTCACTCATAGTACATAAAGCAAAGAAAGCCAACCTACAAACCACAATCCCAGAGAACTTAGACAACAATATGGACACTAAGAGAGACTTACAGAGATCTAATCTACATGGGAAGTAGAAAGTAGAAAAAGACAAGATCTCCTAAGTAAATTGGGAGCATGGGGACCTTGGGGGAGGGGAGCGGAGAAAAATGGAGAGCTCAATAAATATCACGGAAAAAGAAAAAGAAAAAAAAACCCGACACTGGATAGATCATTTGTTTGACGAAAACAGTGTTTAATAATCTTTTTTGTCTTTGATCATGTTATTGAGAGAGCTAATGCTAACCTGTAAGCTTCACTTGCCCAAGGACAGATAACTTTCTAGAATGCTGGGGGCTGTTGTTCATGCAATATATTAAGCCAAGTGTTTTCACTTCAGTAAACAAAACTGGTTGCCCCAACTGGACAGGATGTGCTTGATCACAAGGCCGGCAGGAGGTACACCTGCAGGAAGTGCTCAGGATGTGTTCTTGCCCCTGATTGGATGAAGTAGCCTTGTGGATTTTGTCTTTTTGAGCACCTGATTAACCTAATTCAGCACCATTCTCTGGGAATCCTGGTTATGAACCTGGCCAGTGTCCATCTTTCTGGCCAATATTTATTAAAGTTTGTTTTAATTAGATAATTGTGGATTTGGCTTTTCTCCTTGCAATTTTCAGGTATAACAGTCTACTTTATTTTTTTTACTTGTATTTTTAACATGTATGGGTACTTTGATGGCATGTGTGTCTGTGTACCACATGTATGCCGTGTACTCGGGGGCCAGAAGAGGGCATCCGATCCTCTGGAACTGGGGCTGACAGTTGTTATCTGCCGTGTGGGTGCTGCCAATGAACCTAGGTCCTCTGGAAGAGCAGACAAGTGTAACATGAGGGGGCCGGCTTGTTGGGGTTTCCGTCCCGCCCAGTACCCCACAGCCGGCAAATCCCAAAGAGAAATCACACACAGGACTCCATAAGGTTATAAACTGATTGGCCCATTTGGTCAGGCTACTTAATTAGTTCTTATGACTTATCTTAACCCATTATTCTGATCTAGGTTAGCCATATGGCTTGGTACATTTTTCAGCTGTCAGCTTACATGTTGCCTCTTCGGTGGTCTGAGCAGGAATGGCAGAGGAACTTCCCTGCTTCCCAGAATTCTCCTGTTCTCATTGCATCACCTCTACTTCCTGTCTGGTTTTCCCGCCTATACTGCCTGCCTGGCCAATCAGCGTTTTATTAAAATATGATTGACAGAATACAGACAATTCTCCCGCATAATTTCCCTCTTTTTTTTTTTAAACAAAGGAAATGTTACAGACAAGTGCTCTTTGAAGGAGATTAGACAGTAGGGTCTTCCTCCAGGACCCCAGATTAGGCCCAAGCCACATCCAGACACCTGTTTGACCTTGCAGGTGTAAGTTTTAAGAGGAGGAAAAGGGAAAGTCTGTGTTAGGGTGGGTTAGGACATAGTGGGATATTTTGACTGGGCATGTTAATTAGGTAAACCAAAGGGGGCTTTTGATTGCTGGACTTTGATACTCATCCTCAGCCTGGCATAGGAAAGTATCCAAATAAAGGAAAGAGCCTTCATGGTTTCGCTTCAGGGCGCTGGTTCTGACCCATGTAAGGTCAACTGTGAGAAAAGTTAAGCCCAGAGAAATAAATTTGTCTTCTCTCTTGGGACACACAGTAGAGCTGAACTGGCATCCAGATTTCCTGGTGCCCGCCCCAAACCAAACTGCAAAATGCACACAAACGTCTTACGATGTCTATGATGCCTCTCGGTGTGTCTCCTGATGATAATTTTACTATTGCACAAGGGCTCCATCGTAGTCAGAGCTGTATTTTGTTCAGCGTAGGGTGCTGTGCAAAAGAAAGAGCCTTAGACGCTTTAGGGTGGTGATAACGACTTCAGTATCAACAATTAACCTGTCCCAGAGAACAAATGAGCGCGTGGTGATTGGTGGCCTGTCTCGCCCTTTCTGTAGGTTCCTGGGAAGAAATGAACCCCGTTGCCTTGGCAACTCTGTTTAGAGACCTGATAATTTGAGAATTTTCCCAGTTTGGGGAGGAAAGAAGACAAACAGATATTCAGGCTTTTTCCCATCTAGCTTTGAGGGTTTTTTTGTGTGTGTGGGGGGCTCCTCTCCTGCAAGCATTGCCTTCTCATCCTCGCCTACCTGGACGTAGCTTTCTTCATATTCAAAGAAAAAAGTGGCCATGTGATGATGATGACGGAGGGAAACAGCCTCTTTAGAGGGGCCTGAGGGGAAAGAGATAAACAGGGGTGCTGTGTTCTAGAAAGCCTGGGCTGTATCACACCCAGTTCTTCTCCCCAGTGCTGGACACTCTCCGGCAAGGACTGCCCCACGGTGCCGTGCACCAGGGCCTGGATGTTCGTGGTCTTCTCTCTCACCTGCTCCACCAATGCCTGAACCTCTGTGAGGTTATCTGGATGGGACAGGAGGCATCCAAGTTAAAAGGATGACCCATGAGGCTGTTCTTCCTGCCACTCTGGGGCCTGCCAGGACACTCCCTCTGCCCCTCTGTTTTATGTCAACCTGACCCAAGATGGAATCATTTGGCAAAAAGGGAACTTCTACTGAGAAAGTGCCCCCACCAGAATGGCCTGCGGGCAAGCCTGTGGCACATTTTCTTGATTGATTATTGATGGGCCCAGCTCACTATGGATGGTGCTATCCCTGAGCTGGTGGTCCTGAGGGCAAGAAGAAATCAGACTGGGTAAGTCATGAGGAGCAGACAGTAAGTAGCACTCATCCGTGGATTCTGCTCTGGGTCTGGTCTCTGGGATCCTGCCCTGCCTTCCCTCAGTGATAAACTTATAAACTGTAAGGCTAAAAAAACAAAAACAAAAAACCTTCCCCATCCAAGTTGGTTTTGGTCATGGTGTTTATCACAATAGCAACTCTAACTAAGACACCCTCCCTCTGACAAGGCACCCTGAGACTCAAAGTGGCAGCCCCTCTAAACCGCTGCTGCTTTCAGTCCACTGGTCCCATCTTCTCTTTCACCATCCAGGTTGAAAATGAAGACCATGGTGTCAGTTTCCACGAGGAATGGCAGAATGGCCATCAGGAAGTCCTCCTGGGAGAAAGTGAACTGGGGACCCTGGGGCAGAAGAAGGATGCTCAAGAGCACAGACTTAAAGACTGAAGGGGATCATAAGAGGACATCTATTACAGCCCTTTGGATTTTACTTGAAAAGAACCAGTGTTCAAAATGGTAGCATTTTACCAAAGGTGATGTAGCAGGTCAATAGACTAAAGTCAAGTTTTCGAGGGTAAATTCAGAGCCTTCCATACTGCAGCACTTTGAGGCTCCAGGACCTCTGACCTACATTCAGTCTCGGGACTGTTTACACCGCCTGCCCCCCCCCCCACGTCCTCCCTCCATCCCAGCCCCCACTCCTCTACTGCCCTCTGCACACCCATGAGTTCTACAGCTTCCCAAGTCATATCCTCTTCCGACCTGGTTGGTGAGCTCTGCCTTCTGGTTAAACATGTCATTGTTGTCACCCATGAGAAAGCCACGGACGTCTTGGAAATCTGGGAAATTTAAGATGAGAGAGAAAAGAACGGTGGGCTTTGGAGGATAGGAAGGTTCTACTCCAAGGGCTGTCATGGGGTCAGGAAGTGGGATGTGGGGTGAGCAGTAGTAACCCGTGTGGGAAGCTATAGTTAAAGCACTGGGGTGGGACCCGAGAGATCAAGGACCGAGGTGGCATTTGGAGCTTCAAGTGAAGAAAGCATTTGACTGAAATGCCTGTTTATGTAGGACAGAATGGGCCGGCACTGGAGAACCTCAGTGAGGGCGGGGGTTGCAAGAAAATGCTTTGCTAATGTATCCCAATTGGCGGGGATGCGTTGGCTCTGGAAGAGCATCAGGACTAGAGCCTACCGGCACCGAAGGTGTGAATGCACTCTACTCCATCCATGGCCGAGGGTCTGCCAGCCAACTAAGTACACTCGGCCCTTCTTCTCCAGGCTGAGAATGAGCCAGAGGCCAGGACACGAATGACCACCGTGAAAAGAGGCCGCAGAATAACACGAAAGTAAACACACCCAAGACCTTCCAACGTGTGGACCCATCACCCTTGCAACGCTAGCACATCTCACAGAGTGTCCCCTGCTCTCAAGATGCCCTCTGCAAACATGGCTTTCATTCTCTCCTTAAACACTCATGTAGTCAGAAAAAGAGAGATATACAGTAAAGAGAAATTCAAAGGAAAAAAAAAACCTCTAAATGGTTTACAGTGTGTTAAAAATATATGCAGGCTAAAAGTTAAAGTTCTTAAAGTTAAGAAGAAAGAAAGGGAGAAGTTGGGTTTGGTGGTACACACCTTTAATCCCAATGCCTGGGAGGCAGAGGTACATTGACCTCTGTGACTTCAAGGGGTAGAGGTACATTGACCTCTGTGACTTCAAGGTGTGGTAGCACATGCCTTTAATCCCAGCACTGGGGAGGCAGAGACAGAGGGATCTCTGTGAGTTCAAGGACAGCCTGGTCTACAGAGTTATTCCAGGACAAAGATATACAGAGAACCTGTATCTAAAAGTAAAAGTAAAAATAAAAGAAATAGAGGTTAAAGTAAAGCCACACAAAGAAGGAAAATATACAGAGAATCTTGATACTGTATGCTATTATGCTCTCTTTGGATTGTTTGAATGCTGAGGAAGAAGCAACAGCTGCTAAAAGACTTTTGTCTATAAATGCTGAGAACTAACCCAAGATAGGTATTTTGAAAATACCTTGGCTTCAAAACTGAAGTCAAAAAGTGTATTACTTTGGAGAAGAGATTTTGCTTTTGTTTCCACAGAAAATGAGAGGCTATGGATTCATTCTGAGTTAAGAAAAATCAACTTTGAACAAGGAAGGCCACCTGAGAAATCTCCGACAGGAACAGATGGCCCAGATGTCTGAGTTCTACATCCAGAACAGATTCAAGACTGCTGCCTGAGATGATCAAAACTCACAGGATACGTCAGTCAAGACTTGATTATAACTCTAAATTTTCTTTAGGTCCCCATAAGATTATCACCGTCCCCATAAGATTATCACCGCCCCCAACCAGCAGGAAGTAGCCTGAAATACTACGCCCACATTCCCAACAAATGGACTATGGTATTTTCCTTTGTTAAAAAAAAAAAAAGAAAGAGGAAAGTGGTGCGGGAGAATTATCTGTATTCTGTCAATCATGTATTTTAATAAAATGCTGACTGGCCAGGCAGGAAGTATAGGCGGAAATACCAGACAGGAAGTAGAGGTGATGCAATGAGAACAAGAGAATTCTGGAAAGCAGGAAGCTTCCTCTGTTACTCCTGCGCAGATCACTGAAGCAGCAGCATGTGAGCTGACAACTGAAAAAGTACCAAGCCGTATGGCTAAAATAGATCAGAATAATGGGTTAATATAAGTCATAATAGCTAATAAGAAGCCTGAGCTAATGAACCAATCAGTTTATAATCTTATGGAGTCCTGTGCGTGGTTTTTATTGGGGCTTGCCGGTTGTGGGGTACTGGGCGGGACAGAAACCCCAACAAGCAGGCCCCCTCATACTACACAGCTCCACAGCTCCTAAAAGTTACATACCTACCTCCACCCCCAACACATAGACACCTAAAAATTTAAAGCAGAAAACGAACTCTCCATTCTCCATAAATTCTCACTGAATATGTTTTTCAACAGGCCTTTTCTTTTTATTTGTTTTGATGCAAGTGCAACGAAAACTATTTCAAAATCCATTTTTGAACTGAATTTTCATAGATTTTATTTTTTTACAACTGTTATTGAATTTGTTCTTTGACTGGGGCTAGAGAGATGGTGCCATGGTTAAGAGCACTTGTTGCTCTCACTGAGCTCCTGGGTTTTGTTCCCACCAGGCACGTTCACCACTGTTAGAAAGTCCGGTTCCCTGGGGATCCAATAGAATCCCTATTCTGACTTCTCCAGACCTCAAGCACATGCATGGTGTGCATACAGGCATGCAGGAAAACATAAGTAGCTCTTTTAAAACTCTTCTTTGACAACTTAATACAGATATATCGCGTTCTGATTTTTCTCACTTCCTACCCTCTCTTCTCCCCTGTTCCTTCCTACAAATCAGTCCCCTTTCCTCACTCATGTTGTTTTGTTTAATGGCCTACCAAGTGTAATCAGGACTGTCTCTGTCACCACGTGTTAAGAACTATCCGCTGGATCCTGAGAGGTTCACCACCGAGTTCAGCCGAAGACAGCGATAACCCCTCCTGCTAGAATCCATCAGTGGCAAGAGGTCTGCAGGGCACCTTTTACTGAGCCATGATTAACCACTGACATTTACAGTCTTGTGGAGGCCCAGTGCAGGCAGCTGCTGGATGGTCATGATGGGAATGGCTGTGTCATGCCCGGAAGTATTTCACAACTCTTCTCCTCTTTTCCAGCTTACGTTCTTTCAACCCCTTCTTCTGTGATAGTCCCCTGAGCCTTGGGAGTGGTCTACATGCCTTGTGTAGGGCTGAGCAGTTAACCATCCAAGATGTTCTTCTCAATCTATTAGAAATGATATAGGAAAGGCATGCTAAAAGAGAAACCAAGGAAAGATTTGTGGGATCCCATAAATGACTTTAAAAATGATGAATACATAAGTAAAACCATGCTGGGGGCAGACATGTTTAGTAGTACCCTGATCTATTTGAGGGGGGAAACAATTCAAAAATAAGAAAAATCTCATTCTAGATGAGCATTTTGAAGTAATTTTGATGACAGGAAACACTAACAAGCCCAAGATGACCAAACTGTGCTTACCCTCAAACCCTATCTTATTATGTTTTGAATGTGTTAAATGTTTCATTTTTACTTATTCTTAGAAATTTATCTGTTAACTGGGGTTTCTGTTCCACCAGGTCCCATAATACTTTAGTCCCAAATAAACACACAGAGGTCTACATTAATTATAAACTGGTTGGCCTATTAGCTCAGACTTCTTATTAACTCTTATACTTATATTAACCTATAATTTTTGTCTGTGTTATCCACGTGGCTTGGTACCTTTTCCGGCAAGGCAGTCACATCTTGCACATCTAGATGATGGCTGCAGACTGACTTTTCCTTTTCCCAGAATTCTCCTGTTCTGGTTGCCCCACCTCTACTTCCTGCCTGGTCACCCCACCTATATTTCCTGCCTGGCTACTGGCCAATCACCATTCTATTAAAAATAATACAAGTGACAGGATAAAAGACCATTGTCCCACAGCATTTATCTATGTCTATCTGTCTGCATGTGAGCATATGCACATGCATGTGGGTACAACTGAGATCAGGAGAATGTGTCAGACCCTTTGGTGCTCCAGTTACAAGCACTAAATCCCCACCATGGGTGTTGGGATCCAGTTTCTGGTCCTCATGATTGAGTAGCACATGATTTTAGCTGCTGAGTCATCTATTAAACCCCTTTTAAAAAATCTTCTTGCACTGGGTGTGGCAGCACATGCCTTTAATCTCAACATTTGGGAGGCAGAGGCAGGTGAATCTCTTGAGTACAAGGCCAGCCTGGTCTACAGAGTGAGTTCCAGTCAGGACATTCAGGACTGTTACACAGAAAAACCCTGTCTCCAAAAGCCAAAAAAAAAAAAAAAAAAAGGAAGGAAAGAAAGAAAGAAAGAAAGAAAGAGAAAAAAATTTTATGTAAGCTCAAGAGAAATATTTTTGATTTCATCTTTTAGCTCACAAACCCTCTAATATTATCTAGTCTTTTACAAAAAAAAAAGTGTGCCCCGCTAGAGAAAACTCTGAGGTTCCAAAATGTACTGTTGTCTATTTTATCTGCAGAACCAAATGCAATCTTCCTTTGAAGTCATCAGCCTGAAGTGAAATCAAATTATAAATAGAAACAATAGACACCTCACTTTCATTGGATGAATATATTGGAGTTTAGAATTTATTAAGTTGGAAAAGAGCGGATTTTTTTTCTGAATGGAGGTACTTCGTGTTATGCCTTTTATATGTTTATAATTTATATGAGAGTGACATTTGCATATGACAGACTGTAGCAAATCAAGTCCTGCAGAATTTGCATCATTTCAGGCTTTTGATTTCTTTTAAGAGTTAGAAATTAGCTTAGGCGATAATGAGAGGACTTTCATATGCATTCACTCTGAGCTTCCATTTGTCCTGATTTGTGTTTAATAACCATCTATGGTGTTAGTTGTTTGATTATATGTAACATATATCATAAAGGTAAACAATAAGTTGTCCTCCATTAAATGGTAGGCATACATCTTTTTTCTCCATAGTTGTACTTTGCAGCAGAAAGGACCATGTGCCTTTCTCTGTAATTACTGCTTATTCACTTTGTAAAGATCCCCAGTCAGTGGGCAGGAATTTGGAGACTATAATCTCAGGCTGTGTTGCATCAGGAGGGGAAAGGCATACCTTCTGGGTCCTTCTCTCTTTTCCAGTATCACACCAAGAAATGGGACTTCCCTCCATTTCAGCCTGGCTGTCATCATTTGGCTTCCGATTTAAGAACTTCCCGTGGAAGAACCCAGTGACACAGTATTTTATATCACAATTGATCACAGTCTAAGTGTTTTTTTTTAAGAAAATATTTATTTATTATGTATACAATAGTCTGTCTCCATGTATGTCTGCAGACCAGAAGAGGGCACCAGGCCTCATTACAGATGGTTGTGAGCCACCATGTGGTTGCTGGGAATTGAACTCAGGACCTTTGGAAGAGTAGGCAATGCTCTTAACCACTAAGCCATCTCTTTTAAGTGTTTTTGATGGGGATCACTTTCATTAGCTGAACTTGTGTTGTTATTGTTGCTTCCAAAACAAGAAATTAACATTGCTAGCTATCATCAGCTCTGGTATTGCTGGCATACTTACATATAAAAACAGTAAACGTTCGTGTGCTCCGTGCATGAGCCTTAGTTGATTGTTATGCTTCCTGATAAGGCAATACAAACCATGTTTATTTCATATGTCATAAAATAGTATGATCCCTTCATTGATATGAGAAGCTCATTTATGGAGTGCAAGCCAGAGCTTAAAATTGCTTAATAAGTGTCCTTTTTGGTTTGACTGGTACCGGTAGAAGTAAGCCACATCAGAAGATCATATGAGCAGACAGACTTTCTCACAGCTGCAACATAGAAATGTTAATGCCAGCCGTGGAACACGAGCATCAAGGGTCTGAGCAACTCTCACCTGTTCTGCTTTTACTTTGACCCTTTTGCAAAGAGAATGCCTATGTTGGAAGTACCTAAGGTACCACATATGAACTCCCTGCTAGTATCAAGACAATTAGAGAGTCTTAGAAATTGAGCGATTATGGTGTAGGCTCTGAGATTTTCAAGCATCCTCTACACACATTTCAAAGAGACGCCTGTAGTGATATTTTGCTTGTGTGGTAACAAATAAAGCTTGCCTGAAGATCAGAGTGCAGAGCTAAGCCACTAGTTAACATAGAGGCCAGGCAGTGGTGGCACACACTTGATTCAGTCTGATAGGCTGTGTGAGGTTTTGTAGAGACAGCAGCACTCTGAGGAGTCGTAGACACTGGATTGCCCCCTTTGGTCTGAGCGTTGGTATAGGTAAGAACTCTCTGTGGCTGGCTCCTCTGCTTCTCTGATCTTTCACCTTTAACCCCTATATCTGACTCTGGGTTTTCATTAGTAAGACCAATTAGAATTCATACTATAGACTTCTAATCCAGAACCTCCCGATACACTGACATTGTGCTGAGAAGTGCTTCCTGATTGTATCTGTATCCACAGGGATGACATTGAAATACCTGAGTTCATCCTTTCAGTGATACCCAGGGTTTGCAAGCCAGGACACTACTATAAAATAACACATCCGCCACTGGAAAGAAAGGGCCCATGATTTGACCTACTATAAAAGTTTCCAGTGTTCTAAAACAAAGTAAGTTTGCTTTTGCTGAGAAGTCTTAAAGGGAATCTGGTGGGGAACACATTACTCCATTTTAAAATAAGAATTATCTAATGTTGGCATTCATTTGGTCCTCTCCTGATGTTAGATGAACTTTTCCTAGGATAAGGTTCAAACCCTTCTAGTGGTATCTTTGGTTCCCACTCTAATACTTAAGGAATCAGCTAAAATATGTGGAGAAGGAAGGCAGATTGCTAAAATGTCAGATCGAGGCAACTGGTTCTGTTTAGGAAGAACAAGATTCCACAAGAGGATCTTATGTACAGAAGCATTACCTGGGGGAGGGCGGGGGTGGTAGAATCGCTGTCCAGTCCCATCGCTTTGTACAAAATGTTGGCACATCAGTGTACAATCTGAGTGGGAAGAAGTCGCAGTTGCACCAGGAAAACTGTCAGGGTTTACAACGTAAGCTGCCTTACTGATCTGTGTGTACGCTTATGTATACTCGTGGAGGCGTCAAAACCATTAGTTTCATCAGTAAATATTTATACATGCCTACAGAAGCACCCACTTGTGTTTAGAAGTGGGAAAAATCACTAGTTCATAACATTATGGCACAACATTTTCTTCATATTTTCCTAAAACATAAATCACACGATAGGCTACTTTTATAAGTTTGGTTAATAGGCTACTTTTATAAACTTGGTTAATATGTTCTTTGCACCTGATTTCCTTGGAGAGGGCAGTTTGTTGTTAAACCTTTGCTGTATTTCTCAATAGATACGTACGGGTTATAATGTGCTTGAGTTTTATAGTCTTTTTTCCATTTGTTCCCAGAATTACCTAACTATGAACAAGTAGTTCTCCATCGTCTTATCTCCTCCAGAGACTCATGTTATAGCTAAATTGTTGACATGAATTCAGCCAGTAGTAGCTTTGGGAGACTGTTATAAAAAGCCTGTGTTGGATGGTCCTGACAGTGCCGAGGCAGTTTCATCTAGACAGCCAAGGAAGACGAACAGATACTTCATTCCTTAGAGGCTCTCAGAGCAAAGCCCATGAACTTGGGAAGACTTTGTTGTTGTATTCAGATGCAAGTGTTATCTCTGAACAAACCAGTCCTTCTCTATATAGAGTTCAGGTAAACAAAACATTTGCTCAATATTTTTAAGAGAACAATTTCCTAAATTTTGGAAAGATTTCCTAAAACATGGAAAGAGTTCTTTCAACAAGTAAACTGGAAATTATCAGTTTAGCTGTGGTCAGGATCGCTGGCGCATGTGTCTGCACCAATGTAATTTAAGCCATTACATCTTTTAAACAGAACTGCTTAAGATGTTGCACAGAATATAGATAGGTGTGTTTATTTGAGCTTGCCCACTCAAGCAAGATGGCAGTGTACTTCTCATGAGATATGCAGGCAATCAAGTCATTCATCTCGAGAGTAAGAACAAAATGACCAACCAACTTCCGAGGTCAAATGACTAGGTGGAAACAGAAGTAACCATTACAACATAATGAAAAAAATTTATTTTTCAAATTATTTTCCAATTTGGCTCTAAGGTATACGGACTCAGGTATTTAAATAAGCACAGAAACGACCTACAGAGAGGAGACATAACAGTATTCTAGCAGGGTAAAATGTAAACCCACACCCATCCCCACCAGCTTCCGGTTTGACGGAAGGAAATGCCTAACAGAATCCTGTCGTGGGAAATGGAGAAGGGGGCACTGTGCTATGAGGAAAACCTGCTGCATAGTTCTACTACGCCACATGCTGCTGCCCAAAAGACTGCTTACAGGAGCTCTGTGCTCCAGTCTGGCACTTCAGGTAATGACAAATGACCAAAACATGCTTGAAGACAGTGGGGAAAGCGTATCTTATGCTCTGAGACTTTCAGAGTGGATTGTCAGATTCAACTCTCCAGCTTGAACTATGTGAATGCAGCCATCACCCTCCTTCATGGAAGGGCGGCACCCACGTGAAGCACGGAATGGACGGAACGGGGTGACGTCCGTTCTTCCGTAAGCTCATTCAACATAGAACTCTAGGAGGAGGAATTGCAAGGATCTCTCATTTTACTATTACCTCCTTGGCTTTTGTTTATAGTGAATTCTGGCTTACGCCAATTACTTAGTTTTTTAAAAAGCTAATCTACTTGAAATCCTCAAAATTAGTACCAAAGAAACCACACAGTTCACTATTCTAATGACTAATTTATAAAACTTCCAAGATTTTTATTTAATGAGACTTTTTTTCTCTGTGTAAATAGTGCATACAAGGCACAAAGCGTCTGAGTTTATTTACTGAGGCCAAATATTTTGGCGTCATTAAACACAGTTTAGTTTACCTTAAGCTACATTTCCAAAAAGCACACTGTTTAGTTTATGGTAAACTAAACTTCCAAAAGTATATGATTTTTAAATGATTTGCATAATTTAATTCTGATAGTTATTTGAGGAAAAATATATCCCAATGATCACAGTTTTGATGAAAAGACGCAGAGATGATAGAGATGCATTAGATGAATAATCTGCTGATCCATCAGAAATGCTTAGAACTCAGTAAAGTCACCATAAAATAGGGCAAGCAGTTAAAAAAAAACAAGTTTTATAACATCGAGACCAATAATAGTGTTACTAAGCGATCTTCATAATAATTAGCCGAAATTCCCTCTGACTTCAAATTAAAAGACATGAAAATAAATTTCTGATATAAGTTCTTTGTCAAAACACTGTATTAGCTGTGACAAAAGGTTTTATCCAATTGCTTTGAACAGTGAACCCAAGCTTCATTGTTCATACCAATTTTCCAATGGGAGACAAAGTCTAGAATTAGAGTTGAACCTTCCACAAATGGATGGAAACCTTCACTCGTGGGTTACTTGACCTTCGTGATGAATTCATATTCACTGCAGTTGCCGCGTCTGAGGCCAGATTCACATCAGAGGGAAACTCCTTACCACTTCTGAATACAACTTAGCATTATACCGTGACTTGAAAAATTTAAAATTTGAAGAGTAATCTACATTTTCTGAAAGAGAGTATTGAATGACTAATGGGATTATGTGTTAAATTGTACAACCCTGAATGAAAACTGGTCCTTTAACTTTTTCTTAGTTTTCAGCAGAAAGTAGTTTCTTTTTAGTTGCTTTTAAAGAAATTTTTTTAGTTATAGCTGTTTATATTGGACTAAACTGTGTTCTGCTCTAAGTGTCAGTTTGGTAATGACTCCTCAAAATTCTTCATACCGCTGGGTTGGATTCACATCACTGATGAAGAAAATTGCATATTTAGCCAAAGGGATATAGGGATAATTGGTCAACAGTGCCTTTCTGTGGGAAGCCTGTTCCATCCTTCCACAGCCTTGGTACCTTAAAAGCAAACAAAAACCATGAAATGTTAAACATACCTATAAACTTAACCACTATTTATCACACAGCCCCTATTCAACACTGTTTCCTATGCTGCAAGGCTTGGTAGATCTTGAATACAGATCCCCAAGTCTAACGTAACCCATGAGAGATGCTCTTACTAAATGGACCGTCAATGAAGATTCTGATTGGGTAGGTCTAGGATAACGAGCAAGGGTCTGCATGACTATCTCGGCCCAGGAGATGCTCATTTTTCTACTTTAAATCCACAATTTGAGTGGCGATGCTTGCTGTCCTTCATCTGTTTGTTCATCCCCCCGAGACCAGTCAGAGATTAGGAATGGCTAAAGTGTTAAAGGAAATTTAAGAAAACTTAGACGCACGATATCACAGTGCTTTTCTAGGTTCTGTTGTACTGTAGGAAGGTTGGGTGCACTAAAGTTAATCTTTTTAGAATCATGATGCATTTCAGGAAAAATATAGCTACCTTTAAATTATGTTGCACTGAGAGAAGCTGTAAAAAGGTCACAGGCTAGGCATGGGACTTAACACAATGGTATGGTCTGGTCTGGTCTGGTATGGTATGGTATGATGGTATGGTATGGTATCATATGGTATAGTAGTATGGTATGGTATATTGGTATGGTGGTATGGTATGGTATGGTGGTATAGTATGGTAGTATGATGATATGGTATGGTATCATATGGTATAGTAGTATGGTATGGTATGGTATGGTATGGTATGGTATCATATGGCATGGTGGTGTGGTATGGTATGGTATGGTATGGTATGGTATGGTATCATATGGCATG